GAACTGAGGCAGGGCAGAGGGGAGCCGGGACCAGCCCTGCCCCATCCTGAGCCTTCCTCACCGTCGTCAGCTTCCTCAGGGCGGCGATGCGCTCCTCCCAGGTGGCCGAGGACTTCTCGAAAGCTTCGTGCCGCTTCAGCAGCTTCTCCACCGCGTCCACCGTCTGCCCGTAGTCACTGCTGGCCAGGTAGGGCTCCTGCGCTATGAGCCACGACTCGGCCACCGAAGCATCCCGGGAGAACTGGCACACCTCCAGCACTGCGGGGAGGGACGGGCACCGCTCAGTCCCCTGTCACCATCACACCCCCAGCCCGAGCCACAGCGTCCCGTCCCGTCCCCCGGCACCGCCGGCGCACTCACACAGCCGCAGCCTCTCCCAGCGCTGCTCCCACGTCTCCATCATGGCCTTCCTCTTCTCCACCAGCTCCACCAGCTTCACTTTGATCTACGAGGGGACGCCGTCACGAGGTGGCCATGGTGGCACCGTCCCCACCAGCCCCCATCCCTGGCTGCCCTTACCTCGGGCGAGTCCTGGTGCTTGCGCTGCAGCAGCTTCTTGCCCAGCTCAATGCAGGTGGTGAAGTTCTTGCTCCGGGCGTCCACCTCAGCCCTGATGCCCTGGTGGTACTTCATGAGCAGCTCCACCGAGGAGACATCCCTGGGGATAAAGTGGTGCCGGTGTCGGTGGTGGCATCAGTGCCAGGTGGCGGCAAACGACGCCGGGTGCCCGCCGGGCGCAGCCCTACCTGGGTTTCTCCTGCGTCTCGATCTGCCGGACGGTGCTCTCCATCCAGGAGAGCAGGTCCCGCGCCATGCTGAAGAAACGATGCTTGTCGGCCGTGTCCACCAGCCGGGCCCGGCGCCCGCTGCATGCTTCCAGCAGCGCCCGCAGGGCTCGTGCCACCTCCTGCTCCTGCTCCTGGATGCCGGCCGCCTTCTCCCCGGCGTAGGCGGTCTGCAGGCGCGCCGCCGTCTCCCGAAACTGCTGCACCTGCCCGGCAAAGACAGAAAGCGTTGGAGATGCTGAGTGTCGGCGACGGCGGTGCCGGGCATCTCCATCGCCATCGCCTCCGGGGGGCAGCCTCACCTGCGCCTCCAGCAGCTGGAGGGCGGGC